TAACTAATAGACAAAAGAAAAAGTGTTAAAGTTTTCCCTCGCAGAGTCTTTTATTAAACCATGCATTAATTACCGGGAGGCTGCTTAAGCGCGAATTGGCATGTGTACGAACTAGCATAAGTGCGAAGCGTTGCAAAAACTGGCATAAGTGCGAACTGGCATATGTGCAAACTGTCATAAGTGCGCCTAAACATTTTGCAAACTTTGGCATAAGTGCAATCTGGCATAAGTGCGAAGCAGTTGCAAAAACTAGCACAAGTGCGAACTGGTATTAGTGCGAATAGGAATAAGTGCGCCGAACAAATTTGCAAACATTGGCATAAGTGCAAATGGGAATAAGTGCACCGAACAAATTTGCAAACATTGGCATAAGTGCGAACTGGCATAAGCGCGAAGCTGTTACAAAAACTGGCATTGTGCGAACTGGCATAACTGCGAATTGGTTTAAGTGCGCTGAATAAATTTGCAAAAATTGGCATAAGTACAAATTGGTGTAAGTGCGCCGAATAAAATTTCAAATATTGGCATAAGTGCAAATTAGTATCTCGCACTTATGCCAATTCGCACTTATGCCAGTTTTTGTAACTTCTTCGCACTTATGCCAATGTTTGCAAATTTGTGTTTTGTTTTTTTATTTGATTTATGTTTTTTTTATAAAAAACTAAAGTCACAAAAGTTATATAAATTCTTTATTTATCTACTTCTATGTTTAATTTCTCTAGCAGTGTCAATGATATATTAAAAATAACTAGATGTCTAACTTCCGCGTATTTTCTGAAGCAAAAATCAGCCATTATGGGGGGGGGGGGGCAAAAATAAATAGTAAATCACGGTTGTTTGGATCAAATAATATTTAATATTCAAAAATTAGAAATCATGGTTAATTCTTGTGCAGCAGCAGGTTGCACAAATAGAGCAATGAAAAACAACAACAGAATATTTCATAAATTTCCAATTAGTAATAGCGAACTCTGTAAAAAGTGGATTGTTGCTATAAAACGTGAAACATTCCTACTGAGCACAGCTGCATTTGTAGTGATCCCTTTTTACCTTCAGATTACAATATACCTGATTTTAATAACAAACCGCAATTAAAACCTTTTTCTATGCCATCTATTACTATTGATTCAAAACCAAAAGAAAGTTTAGTTCTATATCGCCACAAACAAATAAAAAGAGACTCATTTAAAAAGTTTCAGAAACAGGCAGTCACCATTACATTGATTTCTATTCGGATATAAGTGATAACAGTAATGTTGCTGCTAATATTAACACAATTTATATTTTCACAAAAAATATTGGTAATACATTTTGTGAAAACTTTAGTGTATTGACTTTTGATATTATAAAAAATCAGTTTAAAAACAATACCTCACTTCCTAAAGGGCATAGGTATACTGATGAAATTAAAAAAATTGAAATAACTCTGCATTTTTACTCACCTAAAGGATAAAATTTTTTACGGCCTATACTCCATTTACCTGCTTCAAGCTCTTTAGCCAACTGGACTTCTTTTGTAGATTGTAAAACTGTTTTTTTTTTGAAGATGTTTTAAGTTATATTAATATAAAAGCAGTGGCTGATATTAATTATAAAGATTGTGCATTAATTATAGATGCTATGGTAATCAAAACATCAGTTCTAAGTGATAAAAAGGCAGGTCGATTCATAGGCTTTACAGATTATGGAAAAGATATTGTCGCAATTGAACCAGATACACCAGCTACAGAAGCATTGGTATTTATGCTAGTAGGACTACGAGGTCATTGGAAAACACCTATTGGCCTTATGCTGTGTAGTAAAAAAAACCTTATGCTGTGTAGTGAAAACCTTTCATGTCTTATTAAAAAAGCATTAACAATTTCTTCTGATAAAAAAATTAATGTAGTACATTTGATGGTGTAAGTGTTAACTTTAATTCTGTTGCATCACTAGGATGTACATTTGGGAAAAGACTAGAAAAAATTGATGGACAATTTACTTTTGAAGGATATAATCACTACTTGTATGTAATCACTGACGCAAGTCATTTGCTAAAATTAACTAGAAATGTGTTATGTGATTTAGAGCGACTTGAGGATTGTAATTTTTAAATAGCTCCGGATTTATTGTAAGAAGATTATTATAAGATAACATGTTCTGTGTGTGCAAACTCACACAAAACAATTTTGTGGAATATTCTTATAGAGCATCAATTCTTTCATTAACATAAAAAATAGGAATGTGCTTATTGCTCCAAAAAATGGTGTTATACAAACTATAATAGTATAAGAGAGCGTTTTTAAAATTTATGTCAGCAATGACAATTTCAAAAAACCAAAAATGAATGTGGAGCAAAATCTTAAACTGAAAATGATTTATGCAGTTAATAAAATTATTATTGAAAAACATTTTTTTTAAAGACCTAAATGAACACGATGCTGACCATGAAGCTGTTATCGAAGACATGCATTGCACACAACTAATAAAAATGTTAGCAAATGACTTTTTTACAATCAGACTGCAAAGATATGGTTAATTATATACAGAAAAGTTGGTCTATATATATAATGATTGGTCTACGTCAACAATCAAATAAATTAATTTTATTCAAAGGTTTATAGCATATATATACATATATATATATATATATATATATATATATATATATATATATATATATATATATATATATATATATATATATATATATATATATATGAAAATATTATAAATAAAAATATTAAATTAAGTTATATTAACTGTTACTTTTCTTGATTTGTTGTTTATATTGAAAAACTTGCTTTTCAAAGGAAAGATGTTCTTTATATACCTGAATACCTATGGAGCTTTTTTTGTGTTGAAAACCTTACTAGATTATAACATAACATTGAATTAAATTTATTTAATTGATGGTAAATCAATTATAGAAAAAAGTAATAATGAATTTTATGATAACAAGAAGTATTTAATCATAAATAAAATTCTAATAAAAAAATATAAATAAAATTCTAACATTTCTAGAATGAACCTCTAATTTGTGTCACACAGAACTTAGTTAATAGTCAAGACAGTTTTATAAAATGTTTCACTACAAGTTTTAACTCTGTTTACCTTGCAGTTATGTTATAAAACCGCCTAGCATTACTGCAGAGGGTAATGAATGACTAACAGGCGCATAAAATGTTAATAGATTAAAGGTTAAAATCCAACTAAATCTAAGATTTTAGCTGAATGTTAAATTTTAAAATCATTCAAACTTAAATTTTAAAATAAAAAAAAATGAAGTATGATTTTGAAATGTTTAAAAAAACAATGCATGTTTACATAATTATTAAATTTTAAATCAAAATCAAAATAACATCGAATTTTTCAGATATCTGTGTATCGATTTTTTATTGATTACATTTTTAAGCTTTATTTTGATTAATAGCGCAAAGATGTTGCCCCCCATAATGGCCGATTTTTGCTTCACTTTTTCTTATACCGATTTACGGCAGTTAAACATCTAGTTATTCTTAATATATCATTGAGCAGTGTAGACATTATTTTAATAAAATTCGAGTTTTTGTTGATTTTGAAAAGTTTTTATAAATGTACTTGTACCCTTTTCGAAATGACAGGTTTAATTCAAGTCCAGCGAAAGCCGCCTCTCAAAAGAGCAAAATGTTCTCCTACTTATATTTTTAAAATAGGCTTTGCGTTGCGTTATTTATGGACGATCCCTTACGTTTAATTTCGCGTTACCCAATTTATGGACGATCCCTAAAAAGCAATTCCACATGCCTCGATGTTTTGCTTTTATCGAGGAAATGGAGTTTTATAATATCTATGTGTTGCAAAAATTTTTAAATTTATATTATTTTGATAAGAAAATAGTTTTTACGATATGTTTTTAATTATTTTTTACTTTCTATTTTATGAGTATGGGATCGTCCATAAATTACGCAACGCTAAATTTATTTAAAAAACAGAAGTAGGAGATCTTAAGTTTTTTTTACGAAGTGATTTTTATTAAACTTACCCGGTGGGAAGTTGGCTAGCGAATAGCTAGCTATAATCTTTACGATAAAGACAGCGATTTGGCCACGAGGATCGCTAGCTTTTTAAAGTTAGCAAAAAGCTATCGATATTTGTAAAGACAAAGACAGCGATTTGGCTATCTTAATAAGCTGAAGACTCACAGGCTATTGTAGCTACCGTCATATTGTAATAAAATCGCTATCAAAAAAAATTTGGTATGTAGCTATCAACCAGTTATAGATTTGTAGATATTTTGTAGCTAGCTAAAAAGCTACGATATGTAGCTAGCGACACATTGCTACAAAATCGCAATGTTTAAAGTTCAATTATTCTCATAATTAAAATAGATTAAACACTAAAAATCGAATTTTTAAAGATGTTAGAGACATTAGTAAAGAATAAAATAAGAAAAAAAAAAAATCGCTATAAAGCTAGCTAGTCGTTTGCTAGTCGCTAGCTCATTTCCCACCGGGTTAATGGGCTGTTTTGTTGTTTTTTTAACAAAAGGCTCTGCTTATTAACAAAAATTAGCAAAATTTATAAACGATTAATAAAAATTTGCAAAAATAAGAGTGTCCGGCGTAACAAATCGATATCACGTTGTGACGCGCGTATTTTGAGCTATATCTGTAAAAAATATAAATAAAAATTATAAAAGTTTAGTTTTTATATATACAGTTACGTTATTGCAATATTGAAATAAAGTTCTTAAAATGATAATACCGCAAACTTTTGTAATCTCAATTAAAAAAATATTAACTCGTAGCATGGAATTGTTGTAAAGATGTTGGGGGAAATTCAAAATTATCAACGGACCGCCACGCGGTTTACTCGTCATTTAGGAAGAGATTTTATGAACATTTTATGAAGTGCGAGCCGATAACATTTTTACGTTCAGTTTATATAAATTTATTAATTAACTATTATATATTTCATATGGCATTGAAACTAATCGACCACAAAACTATTTTTTTAAACAGATTAATCATGGCAACAAATTTATCTAGTAAATTTATTGTTGTATATCTATTTAATGTAAAGTAGAAACTACTCTAAACAAATTTCTCAAATTCTTTAGTATCGAATGCCACTAGCGGATTGCGGAGATGAAATAAATAATTACCGATGTTGCTGAAGTGGATTTGCACTGTAGATATACATTAAATATATCAATGAGATATGCAAAGGTTTTGATATCATTGCATCAATACTCGTATGTTACCATAACAATTGATCTTTATTTGAAGCAGAGAAATCCTTTTACATTTTGCAAGAAAACCTCTAAATTTTTACGGAACTGCCGTAAACTTTGGCGATTAGGAGAAAGTTTTAAATTATTAGGTGTCAAAATCTAAATAAAAAATTTAAAGTTTAAATTTCTTGTTTAATTCATTTAATAACTCCATTTAATCAATAAACTTACGTTAAAGGCTTCAGTCAGTTTTAATCTGAAAGTTTCATTAGTCACGTGCTGTTGAGCAATAAGATCATTGGCTAGCATTAAATATTCTTCTTGATGGCAACATATAAGTAGAAACAAACATTCTGATGAAGGCTCAATTAAATCAACATCAAATTGAGCTAGCACAACATTTCGAAAAACAACCTAAAATAAAAAAAAGAATTATTTTAAAAGGTCACGCCGTCTCTCAAGGTCAGAAGGGCTCGCACATTAAGTCATAAAATGAGTTCGATGTGCAGTAATTAAGACAGCCACTACAATGACTTAGAAAAAAAACAAAAAAAAAACTTATTAATTTATACCTTACATAATCCGTAAAAAGAGTGTTATTAATACATCGTTTAATAAGTTTGTAATAAGGAACAATCAAAAATTGGTCCTTACTTCAAACTTATTGAAATAAGAACATTATTTTTAATGTTTCACTAAAGAACCCTTTTCCTGTACACTGTGTAACCTAAAAAATTGCAAAATGACAGGAGATTTTGCATTTTTACAGAACTTATTACTCAACTTGATTATGGGGAAATCATCTAGAAGTAATTTTAAGTGAAAACATTAGTGTTTCTGAAAATTATTTTGGTTGTTTTTATCATTTCAAAACAAATGCCTTAAACTAATAATGTCTTATTATTGAGGTGTTTTTTTCGAAAAATTTCTGGGAATAAGCATTCATTTCAAAAAAGAAAAAAAAGAAACACACTAGAACATATAAGTTGCAAAAATGCCAAACAAAGCCAAAGACCACGAAGAGAATAGAAAAGCTTTTTTTTTTTTTTGTGCCTCCAAAAGGGAAATCGTAAGCTAACAACTTTTCTGATTTAGAAAGCATAAAAAAGTTCTCAAAGTTGAGCTGGATTTTTCTGACTACAGGATTCCTTCAGGTATATTAGTGAAAGATGTCGTGTTGCCATCAGAAGAAAAGATGAGGGTGAAAATCCTCCTCTTCCAAGCCTTTACGATTTTAAGAGCATCATAGTTCGACCAGCTACCAGAGAATCTCTTTGTGATTTTTTGGTATGCCAAATTGCCAGGGCGCCCCACAATTGTACAAAAGGAACAATGCGACAAAATTTGGTTACAGTTGCCTCAAAAGATGATGCAAAGATAGTTGCGACTATGGTCATCTCAAACAAATCTCCTTCTCCACATGGCACTGTCCATCTCAGTCAAGCAAAGGGAGGCAACAGTTTTCCAGTTGTTCCAGGTATGATACAGTTTTAAACTATCATAAGCATTAATCCCCTGTGTGTGATAGCATAGTTTTCTCTTAGGGCCATCCAGGCCAAGAGAACTTTTGAGTCACTTAGAAGAACTCTTGCAGAACAGTTCACGCCAAACCACATTCAAGACTCAACAAAGAAAAATTCTACCAGAGTTGTTGTTCACTGCAAAGATGTGCCTGATATAGTCAACCGTGTTTCAAAAGTCAGAAATATTCCTGGAGAATCATTGATTAAAGTGGGAATGGATGGTGAAAGTATCCTTGGGAGTTATTGAAGCAAACATAGAGGATTCATCTCCTCCCTCAAAGGGTGTTGCAAAAGACACAGGTGTGAAGCGCCAGTTAGTAATTGCTGTTTCTGAAAACCAACCAGAGATTTATGAAAACTTGATAAGCGTTTGAATTTGCTCCAGTTGCAGAAAATTTCTTTTGCTGTTTCATGTGACATGAAAGTAGCGAATCTCATAACTGGATTTTAGCCTCATGCCAGAGCTTGTACACGGTGTGATGCAGATTCTAATAATCTTCACATCTGCAGGAAACGCAGAACATTTGATTCCATTCAAGTTGACTTTTATGTATTTCAAAGGAGTGGGTCAATTTTGAGAAGAGCAATGTTTAACAATGTTATTCACAAACCAACTATTTGCTTGGAGCATCAAACACTCTTATTGGACTTTATCCTTCCAATGGAGCTACATCTTCTTCTTGGAGTAGTAAGTTGTGTCAAACATGGCCTGATGCCAATCAATGGCCTGCTGCTCTTCATATTCGAGAACAGCTTTTTCATGGGGGCCATTTTTCTGGAAAGGATTGTCAAAAGCTATTGAAGCATAGTGATGTTCTACAAAATCTGGATGAACAAAGCTCTTCATTCAATATCATGCCTTTTGTTGAAACTTTCAGATATTTTAAAAGGGTTGTGAATTCTTGCTTCGGAAATAATCTTTCTCCCAACTTTGTAGAGAAGATCAAGGAGTTCCAGAGTTCCTTCTTGAAGTTGCCAAACACCACTATCACTCCAAAAGTGCATGCAGTCTTTTTTCACGTGAAGCATTTTATTGACCACCACAAGTCAAGCTTTGGAGTATTTTCTGAACAGGCCCAGTCATCCAGAATATGAAAAGAAGCTTCTGAATTGTGTTGTAGACCTCAACAGCAAGCATTCATTTTAGTTGAAAGGATCTTTTTCAAACCAAAATTAAGAATACTGTAATCTTAAAGAAATATTCCCGATTGATATTTTCATTCAGAAATGTTGTTTTATATACATAAGAATGTTGTTTTATGTACATAAGAATGTTTCTTTTGTTGTCACAACAATGAAATAACTTTTAAAAAAGAATAATAAATGCTGCAAAAATGCAAAATCCCCTGTCATTTTGAAATTTTTTAGGCCTATTAGCTTAAAAATTTAAAATCAAAATATCTTTCTTGGACGTAATACTTTGATTTCCAAATTTATATTTAAATGTTCAACTATATATGGGCTATCATCTCCCAAAAGGTTTTCCTGGGGACACGAGTTTAGGGTCGATCATGGTTTGGATACACAGTGTGTAGAGTTCAAATCTTTTGTTGTTTACAACTTTGTGTGCGCAGTGTATTGCTTTATATGTTAGATATATGGTTTTTATTAATAAGTGGAAAAAATGTGTTTTATTTTTCAATTGCTTTATATAAAAAATTATAAATATATATATATATATATATATATATATATATATATATATATATATATATATATATATATATATATATATATATATATATATATATATATATATATTTATAAAAAGCTAACAAATATGTATGTATATATATATACATTTATTGGTTATAGAGATCAAAATTTGACGGGAGCTAAGTTAATTTTGCATTTTTTTGTTAAAGGAATACCCAGGTGGCACAGCAACCGCCAGGTTTGAGATGTCCTCACATCCATTTTTTATTAAGAAATAATATATTTGTTAAATAAAGTAAGAACCTCCATGAAAATAGATGAAATGAAAAATTGAAACATTAAGACTTTAATATTTAGTATTTTTAATCTTTTATATTTGTTTATTAATTATTTAAAAGATGTAGGTGTAAAAGCAACAAATATACAATATATTTAAAAATTTACTAAATGCATTTTATCTTAAAATAAGTTTTTTCCAAATAGCTTTATAATGCACAGTGTTATTTTGCGTTAAATTTTAAAAACAGTATCTTTTATGATATTAAAAACTTTTAAAATTCAATTTATATATAAGAATAACAACTTTGACACAATTGTAGGTAGGGTTCCTTGATTCATTGCACCCATTCAATGAATATTTGTACCATTAGTCGACAAATTTGACCTTTTTATATCTTTAGTCAAAGAACCAAAGTCTAATTAAATGGGCAAATTAGAGAATTAAGCCCATTTTTCAGCAAAACTGGTAAGACATTCCCCAACTTGACACTTACTCGTGCTGGACTTGAATCATATGCTTAATTTTTAACAAAACATGATCCAAGGTACGCATATAAGCGTTATGCTCATATTAAATAATACATGTGACATGTCAATTTAAGCCATCTTTGGTCATTTAAAAAGATAAACTTGATTACGCAGTTTTTTGTCATGTTACATGTTTTTGAGATAAGTGCTACATACATATTTACTATTTTGTTGTCATGCTACATGATGTTTTTTGCGCATAAAAAAAAATTAAAATAACATACAATCAATGATACACAGTCAGAAAAATAAGTATCTGACAAAAATTTTTATTATTAAAAATAAACTTTGACAGGTTATTTCAGAAAAAAATAACTTTATAATAAAAAACTGTATGATTATTCTGAAAGAAAATTTAATCAATTCAATAACCATTTAATCAGTAAAAAAGTTATAATAATTATACTTAATTGCTAAAAAATTAAAGAAACATTCAAACTTTTTAGCATTAAATAAAAAACATTCAAACTATGCAACTTTTTAGCATTACATAAGTATCCAAACAAAATTTTGATAATAAAACACTTCTCTAAGTAATTTTTTTTTTGACTTTTTAATATGGAGCCTCTAGCTTTTATGACTTCTAAAACTTCTAAATTCAACAATTTTTTTTTTCGTATCTGGATCAATATGATTCATGCTCCAAGCTTCTTGGAGCATGAATCATATCGATTCAGATACGACATTAGCTTTAGCTCTTTCATTTTTAGTCATCGTGTGTCCATAATTCCATCAATAAACTCCAGTTTTCTTGTTCCGTTCCTAGCCATCGATCCCCAAACCATATTATTGCCTCCACTAAATTTTACTGTTCCTCGAATGCAACTGAGTGTGAATGTTTCACCTTTTTTTCTCCATACTTTTTGAGCTGTTTTGGACTTCACAAGATTAAATTTTGACTTGTCAGTTCATAAAACTTTTCTCCAGAATGATATTGACATATTGACATATTTTTTTGGCTAAGCCATATCTTTGTTTTCAATGAGTTTTTAATAGGAAAAAAAAGGTTTTTAAAAGGTTCTTGCGCGGAACTCTTGTTTTAAATCCACTTTTTTTCAATCAATTTAAAATAGTATTGCCCCAAGAAGACCTTACGGTCTTATCACAGAGCACCGTGGAAGTGCATTTAACCAGGAAGTTCACGCCTCCTTACTTATCGTGACACGAAAATATATCCAAGACTCGTTTCGAACCTGGATCTCCTGCTTATAAAGCAAGCGCTCTAACCATTGCGCCATGGCGGCACAAATCTTGTCAAGCAATTCTGTTTTTTTTTTTGTTTTTTTTTTGTAACTGAACTTATATAACATAAATGAACTTAAGATTTCCTTTGAATCTGATGCTGTCTCTTCTGGATCAGAGGCAGAAGCTATAGTTTCTAAAGATAAAAATTCTTTTGATGAATTACTTCAAAACTCTGATTCTACTGTAAATTGCAAGGTAAATAAAAACTTGTAAAATCTAGTTGGTTGTATTAATTTTGCAAAAACTAAATTAAAATGCATTCCATTAGATAAAAATAACATTATTTATTATTTAGATTGTATGTGTCAGCCCTAAAGATCTGACGGATTATACTACTGTAGTATCTGCTCAGTATAGAGTTGGGATAAATATGCAACATTAACTAAATTTTTCAGCTAAAACACCCCCACAGAGGAAAATAATACATGACATAATCCCACAACATTTAAAGAACGCATTTTCATTTTTCTCTTAATTCAACTTAAAAGTAAATTTTAAGTATTAGCATCTTTTGATATTTCTGAAAAACCTGAAGTTTTTCTAATATTTGACATGACAACTCTTCTGATATTTGACCTGACAACTCTTCTGATATTTGACCTGACGATATGTCCTAATGAGTCTTCTGATTTTTTATAGATGATGATTTATCTTAACAAATATTTTAGGAAAGAAAATTTATTTTTATACTAAAACTGAATTTAAATAACTTTGGTAATTAAAAAAAACAATTATTGTAGTCAAATCCATGATTTTATCAAACTCATCATGCTATTAAATCTATCATTCTATCAAATCCATCATGCTATCAAATCCATCAAGCGCTAAAATTCATCATTCTATCAAATCCAGCATTCTATCAAAACCATCATGCTATCAAATCCATTATGCTATCAAATCTGATTTTTTTTTCCCTCAATAGCTTTGGTTATTTTATAAAACTTTCAGGAGACATTATAGTAACCTGACATCTAGTAAGTGATCAAGCCCTGGTCTCGGCTAATAATGAGACTGGCAAATTTATTTAGATTTAGCAAATGATGATAGCAGGGGCTAGAAAAAAATTTATAATAATTTATATATTATAATTTTATGCTTACATTTACTATTTATTAAATACTAGCATAAATTCATATATTTTTAAACTCTAATTTGAAACATATATTTTTAAACTCTAATTTGACTTACTTAAAAATAGAGGATAGGGTTAAAAAGCTAGGAAACGGTTAACTGAAGACTTGAAAAATTGTATAAAAAAGGAAAACATGAAGATGGGTAAGAATTATACAGTTTTTTTGATGTGCAAGGAAAAAAATTAATTAGTAAAAGTTTTTATAGCATGAAGAGATAGATACAGTAAAAAGATGGAACTTGTTGAATAAGAAGACGAGCAAAAATGAGTTTTGGTTTATTGCCATAAAGTAATATAAGCAATAGCTTGTTTGAGCATTGACCACGAGAGTATTTGTAAAAAAAGAAAGAAATGCAACCTTGCAACAATGGGAGAGTGGCTTAAGGCAAATAAAGCAGGTCTAATTACATTTATAATGAGTTTTTAGTCTTGGTCTGCTTGTTCTAAACAATCAAAAAGTGAAGACTTTTTTGTCAAGACACGAGTATGGAGTTGAGTCGTCAGCGAATAGAGCTTTTTTAGATGTAAAATTTTCATAAAGATCGGTATTGTAAATAAGAAACAATACAGAAGCAAAGATAAAACCTTGTGGTACCCTTAAAGTTACTCGAAATGAAGAAGAGTATAGGCCTTCAAGAATAACTTTAATACTGAGTTAATTACTTAATAATCTTAAAAACTTTATATAAAATTAATTACAGAGTGAAGACTAATTGTAGGATAGTTGGAGAGGTCGAATTGTTTTCTAAAAATTAGTTTTAAATTTAGTTTTTTAAATTATTTAAATTTCTAAAAAAGAGTTTTTAAAAATTGAAACCACTAAATTAACACATTTTGATAGTTTAGCAAAAATTGAAGAGAGTTCTGGAGAACACTTTTTTAAGACTATGATGGAAATTTTGTCTGAAGTACAAACTGTAAAAGTACAAACTGTACAAAGTGTAGAAGTGTTTAATTGAAAATTAACTGGGTTTAGAAGTGTTTAATTGAAAATTAACCTGTTTAACTGGTATGACAGGAAGAATATGGCCTTTAGATTCAATAGTCAAGTTAGAAGAAAGTTTTTTTTCAACTCTACCCTACAATAGGAAGAAGTAAAGAGATCAGACCCATGAATAAGAGACTAAATGTTAGACTTACTTTAGTTAATGACACTGTTGAAGACTAACGATAATAATGATGCTGTTGAAGACTTTCCAAAAGTCTCTAGAAACATTTGAAGTAAGATACATGATTTAGTAAAATTAAAATAACAAAGCTTAAAATTGAACAGGAACCTTTTACATTGGCTTCTTGCAATAATAAAAGGACATTTGTTCTTAAAAGAGATGTTGTTGTAAAAATGATGAAAAAACTGATTACATTTTAATAAGCGGCTGCTCAAGAAATATGTGAAAAATATGTAAAGTAGAATGAGGCTTGACTTAAAAATAAAAAGACCGAATAAAAGCTTCCAAGATGTGCATTTATGCATACATAATATGGATATAAACATATATGTTTGCTATTTATTTAGATGCTGGCAGACATTATCCTTTTATATTTATAAAAACTTTACTATTTATATGATATAGTATTTGCCAAAAGAGAAGATGATCAGATGCATGAGTGTTTTGACTCAACAAGACAAGAAAAGGAGGCATAATCTTAGACAGATTTTAAAAGAATTTTAAAAAAAACATTGTATTCAACAAAAATCGATTTAGGTATCAGCAAGTAGAAAAGTAGCAGCTTCAGGAGGTAAAATGGTAGTAGTAGAAGTAAGAAAACTTGAAGAGAGCACCTTACAAATTGTATGAGGGAGCTTTAGTTAAGGAAAGTGCTATTGATTAAAAGATATTAAAATGCAATTGTTTATATTAGAGAAACAGCATAAAAGTGGAAGGGTTAAGCCTAACGATGATGATGATAAAGATTATGATGATCATGATGGTAATGATGATTATGTTGATCATAATGATATTTATGTATGCATATATATACAAATTATAATATGAATTTTGAATAAAAAAAACAAACTTTAGGATGTATAAATGTTTATGCAGTCCCGGTCACAAACCCAGCCCAAGCCCCAGTTATATTTTATCAAACCCAGCCCTGGCTCTGTCAAATTTCAAGTCTGGTCACTTACTACTGACATCACTGTGGTTCACTGTGAATAGTAATAAAAATTCATAAAGCTTCAAAATACTTTTTTCACCCTTTTTTTGTAGTTTGGAGTTAAATATTTTTATTTGAGGTGCAGACTTTAGAATTATTATTTAGTTAAATGATAATTGTAAAGTTTTGAGACAAACATTATTTTGGGATAGCACAGTTGCATAACTTATGTATATTGTAGTTTTCAGGTCCCTTTTATATTTAAAAATCTTTTTTAAAATATTTTTTATTTGGTATTAAAGTATCAAAGCTAATTGTTCAATCATTAGAACATTAAACAAGATGAACACAACTAACTGTTAAGTAAAATACAAATGAAAAACCTTTTTGAAAATGAAATACTTTTTAAATAATTCTTTTGTCTCTTTTCTTATTATACTTATTCTATATATGCTTCTAGCCACATTCACAAAATTTAATATACTTTAAGGGTGCTGGAATAGCTGAGATAAGAAAAGACCAAATGTTTGGTCTTCCTACAATTTTAAGTCAAAAAAATTAAAAATGATGCCTGTTAACTTACTTTTTACTTCAGAATTCCCTCCTCCCCCCTTTTTTCTACAAGAAAACCAAAAGAAAAATGGTTAATCCAAAATCTGGGCTTATAGTTATAAACCAATCCCTGCATATATATATATATATATACATATATATATATATATAATATATATATATATATATATATATATATATATATATATATATATATATATATATATATATATATATATATATATATATATATATATATATATATATAGAGAGAGAGAGAGAGAGAGAGAGAGAGAGATAGAGATAGAGAGAGAGATACCTTAAGAAATTCTTTTAGGGCAGAGTATAATGGCTGATTAACAGGATCTTTAGTATCACATTCGTTATAACAGTACTTAGCAAGTGAGCTCAATGCATCCAATGCACATTTAGCTGTATCAGGTGAATAACTTTCCATATATTAAAGAAAATAGTTCATGAAAAAAGGTATAATTTTGCATTATTTGTTGTTAATAATAAATCGCTCTAAATAAGTATTTATCTAACTAAAGTTTCAATTTTACAATTTAAAAAAAATGGAAACTTATTTACAACAAATGGTGTATGATATATTGATTGATGCAGATAGTCTATTGCCATTATAACATTCACCCTACTGTAAAATTGACTTTTAAATTCTACAATTAATGACATTACTGAAAATAACTAAAAAAAATAACAAAATTATGTGAAAAGATACTCATCGACAGCCATTTGAATAGATGCCATAAAGTTACGAAACAATACATCTGGTAAAATTTTCATTTTCTCAGGATAAACTTCACATACAAATGTCACAAGTTTAAAGTATTCACTACTGAGATTTGGAAACTAAAGTTATTATTTTATTGATTGAAAATAGGTTAAAAATGTGCAATATATATTAATAATATCAATAAAGCAATAAAGCATTTAGACAAAACAACAATTAAATTTTTTTTATCAAAAACTTCAATACCAGATGGTTAACACAAAAGTAGTTACAGCCTTATTTCTGATAAATTTATAATATACACACAAGTGGATACTATATACTGATTATTATACATCTAATTATAAAAACTATACCCTCATTAGTTCCTGATTAATTAGAGGAATAATTAAATGTAAACCAAACAAAACAACTTCAACAATACTAGTGGCTTCACTGTGCTTGTCATCATCAGGACCTGTGATTATAAAAATTTATATCGATGCTTAAGAGCACAAAGGGAATATGTCCAACATTAAACATTAGGTAAACATTAAACAAATTAGGTATTAAAGTATGTAAAATAAATGAAAAAAAAAATAGTAAAAAACAAGGCAGAATTAATTGAGGATTGCATTTGGTTAAAAATCATGACAATAAATATCATGAATTATTGTATGTTTTCAAACTTTCAAATTCAGATTTCTCAAAACAATGGTTAGTGTACATATTGCCTTTGTGCTCTTAACCATCGATATATAAAAAATTATCTTTAAAATATTTGAAATTCCTATTTAAATAAAAAGCCATAAAAAAATATTAATAAGTTAATTGGATGACCTGAGAGTTTATGTCTAAACAAGTAACCGGTTATATTCTTTAATGTAACTGATATAAATTCACGCCCTTTTTAAGTAAGTTACACCCTTCTATAAATGAACTAATAAAAACATCCAATGATAAAAGAGTTATATAAAAAACATAGTTTACATATTGCTGAACAACTATTGCTGAGACAACTCATGGTATGAGATAACCAAAATAATATTAGAGATTTATCATATTATTTCAGTTATCTCATACTGATAGACAACTATAAATAGACAAATATAAATCATACTCATGAGACAATACTTATGTTATGAAATAACTTATGGTGAGAGACAACTTAATGCTTGGCAAGTTAGTACCCAGGATTTCAAGATTTGCAAAATCAGTTACAGCAATTTTAGTTCAATCAAAGATTAAATCATAATAAACTTTTTCCAAAACATCTTACAAAACAAGAAGTCTTACAAAACAAGATGTCTTACAAAACAAAACATCTTACAAAACAAGAAGTCTTACAAAACAAAACATCTTACAAAACAAGATGTCTTACAAAACAAAACGTCTTACAAAACAAAAAGTCTTACAAAACAAAACGTCTTACAAAACAAGATGTCTTACAAAACAAAACATCTTACAAAACAAGAAGTATTACCAATTAACAGTTATGTAACCTTGCTTTAGTTGTATAAAAACATTTTTAAACTATGAACATGTTTAATCTATTAAAAACATTTTTAAACATATTTACCTAAATCAAGATAATCTTTAGAGAGTATTCGTGTTAGAATTCGCATCAACAACAAAATATCTGCATACTTGTCTTCTTCAGAAGTAGAATCAATTACCTGCTTGCCTTTTTATAAAAAAATTTGAAAAATAATGATAGATAGTTTTTATTAGTTATTTTCCATTATTATATTAAATTTAATATTTTAATCATTAATAATTTTATTAACAAAATTTAAAATAGTATTAAATTAATATATTTTAATACTAACATTTTTATTAGAACAAATTATTTACCTAAATTAAATTTTGAGTATTCTGTCATCATATCTATGCATACTTTACATAATAAGTTTGAACTTGTCTAAAATAAAAAAGTTCAAGGTCACAATATGACAACTAAACATTGCTCAAAAATCAATGATACCTGCAGCTAAGTTATTATTTAGTGGTTTTATGTTTTTTGTTAACTGAGCCCTGATCTTTTTTTACAATTGGGTTCAAAATTGTTTAATTAATTGAATGAAACAACTTGTTTTATAAAAAACAAATATAATTTTAAAATCGTGTGTAATTCAATCATTATTATCTTGAAGTATGGCTTCACTTGCTAAAAACATCACTTGCTAAACGTGTACAAATGAAAGAGGGCAAATCTGAACAAATGATTGCTGCACATTTCCACTGGAAAGCAGATTATAGCACACAAACTCAAACTGATTTGTTTGATATTTATCAACCATCAAACTTTATTTCCTGATGCATTGTGTCTTTTGTTAAGCAATGTCCAGCAATAATAATTTGGGGTGTCATCATTGCCAGCAGTCGTGCAGTTTATACTTTTTACCGCAAGGTGAGATTGTCAATTTCATGAATTATTAAAAAAATATATATATAAAAAAGAAAGAACAATGTGTCTACTTGGTTTCAAATAAGAAAGTTTAATGTTTTTATCCATAAGGGCAAAATTTGTCATAAATTATCATAAATTGTTACAACATGATTCCAAGAAAATGAAAATAATGTTCTTGCCCTGTGGCTGGCTCTGCTTGATTCTAGGGGTTTTAGGTTGAGTTTCAAAAAACATGAGTTTTTTCTTCAGATTCTATTAATATGTATGTGAAAAAAATCAAAATGAGTCCAGAGATTCAGTTTGTTTTGTTGCTGTAACAAAACAGACAACTTCTCTCTTTGTAGTATGCCATCATTGGGGACACTAGTTTGAGACTATGTACACAAAGGATTCAGTTTTGATATAAATGAATTCAATTGCTACGGTTATGAAGCGGTCTCATGCTCTAGATAAGTTTTACAGTTACAAAAAATTGTTTTGTTTTTTTAAATAGAAAGGAAGATGAACTTGAAAACTCAGTGTTGAAAGATGTTGTATACATTGAAGATCTCACCAGACTTGTTTAAGAAATCTGCTCTTTAGGTGGATTAGATCCTATAAAAGCCCTTTTTTAGAGTTGGAATTGACTGAGGACAGAGCTCACTGAAGGTTTAGTAACTTAACCTACTTTATATAACGCAAATAAAAGAAATAAAATTAGAATTATTTTTCAATTATGATTAATTTTCAGATTATAATGAATATTTTCGATGAAACAAAGTTAGAGGAGCAAAGTAGAAACGAGGTGAAAAATAGAAAGGTAATAATTCTGACTTTGGACATAACGTCAAGGAGAATAACCATAATCTTGGAATGCTAACTAAATTAATTAATCTAAATCAGCTCAAATTTTTTGTGGCTTCTGACCTAAAGCTCATAAATGTACTTCTTGATATATCACTAAAAATTTTGCTTAATTTTATTAATTTTTACAAGTAGCTATTAAAACATTAAATCTCAGAATAATAAAATAATTTATTATAAAGTCATGGTGAAAAACATGCTTGTTTTTACTTTACTGGTACAATAAGCTCATCAGGTGACTTGAGAACTTTTGTCTCTTTTAGTTCAGATTAGTATCGGTACCAAGATGCAGTATATTCTTTAAGACTATGCAATTATTCAAATTATTATTAACCCATGTTTGCTTGAGGAAGATCCTAGAAAGTTTATTCTTAAAACCATCCCTCTTCCGGAACTTCACATGTATGAGCATGTTGTGACAAAAATTGTTGACATTCTTTTAGTTAATGAGGGCCTGAAATCCTTTTTGGACAAAAATACTGTAATGTGACATGGTTATAATGGTGGCGGATTGGATGGACCCAACTGTGGTAAAATTCTCAAATAATTAGATGAAATGATTCTGGTAACACCAATTCAGTTATTCAGTTGAAACCCTGCAGAAGTTTAGAACAGGTAACAATTATATATATATATATATATATATATATATATATATATATATATATATATATATATATATATATATATATATATATATATATACATATATATATATATATATATATATATATATATATATATATATATATATATATATATATATATATATATATATATATATATATATATATATATATATATATATATATATATATATATATATATACATAATTGCAAAGGTTTTAGCATCATGCCAAAACTACTTTTTGCAAATATATTGCAAAAAGTAGTTTTGAATATTTTAACTATTTCAGTAATACTAAATTAAAAAAAATTATTATAGAATATGGAATAAAATAACATACATTGCCATCTAATACCACCATTCAATTATTTTATATTCTCTTTAGGATTAGGAGTAAGAAAGAAAATAAAAACACTCAATTGGAAGAAGTATGAAGAAGACTTTTTAAAAAGAAGTACATACAGAAACATACAAAAAAAAAGTACACAAACATACAAAAATAAAGTACAGAAACATACAAAAATAAAGTACAGAAACATAAAATAAAGTACAGAAACATACAAAAATAAAGTATAGAAACATACAAAAATAAAGTACAGAATCTTACAAAATAAAGTACAGAAACATACAAAAATAAAGTACAGAAACATACAAAAATAAAGTACAGAAACATACAAAAATAAAGTACAGAAAAAATTAAAATCAATAATTAAAGAAAAGATTTTTATTCATTCACAATAATAATAGTAATATATTTTTCTGTAAGGGGTCAACGCCGAGTCAACCCTATGACAGACTCAATAACATTATTCAACAAAAGTTAGATAAAAAAAGAGTAAAAAAAAACAACTTGACCCATTGATTTAGTTGTATTTAAGCTTAATAGTTTGTTTAAAAGATCACACGTGATACTATGCATAAATGGAAATTGCAACAACTGGTGCTGCAAAGATATATACCATTGATATTTGTTTAAACATTTATGCTCAGCCCTCGGAATTAGGAAAAATGAGGACCTTAAACTGTTAAAGGTTGGCATAAGGTCAGCGAAAAAATTTGACACAAAGTGGTTATCATAAAACATAGAAACGAGGTTGGCAAATTTTAGCCGACTTCAACCACTTTTAGGTCGGTAAGTTGGCATTGCCAAATGCCAACCCTAATTTCGAGGGTTGTATGCTAACGATAATTGTAATGGGTTCAACTTTTTGTTTCAACAACAAAGGAAAAAAATTATATCATTTTTATTTCTGTATCTTCGATAAAAAAAGTTATTCAAATGTAAAATGATTATCTGATTAAAAGTTTTATCACTTTTTTGTGTGCTGTATATTGTAAAATAGTAATGATATACATCTAAATAATACACAAGAACAGCTTTTTAATTTTAGAGAATTTTTTTGGTTTATATATAAATTTTCAAAATGTAATTATTCAAAAAACAATTACATTTTGATAATTAAACTAATTTGATATCTCGCTTTATAATTAATTCAAACCACCAAAACGCACCTTTACTCTTTACTACAGGTATTGTTTCAAATCTTTTAAAAAATTTTAAACAAGGATCACCTGGATCCGACCAGATCTTCCCCAAACTACTCAAATGCGTTCGTCTTGAAATCTCTGATATTCTAAGTATTCTGTTTAACAAGTGTTTGTCTCACTAAATTACCAAACCCAAGTAACTGGTCAGACTTCCGTCCAATCTCACTCACATCCCACCTCTGCAAGACATTAGAAAGAGTTGTCGCCAAATTTATTATCCAACATACTCACACCATCTTAGAAAACAACAAACAATATGGGTTCCTACCATATCATAGAAGACTGGCATTTTGCTAAAGACAAAAAGAAAAATTTAATTGCAATATTCTTTGACTTAGCTAAGGCCTTTGATGTAATTGATCACAAACTTTTTCTTACCAAAATTAACAATATACCTCCCTAAATGGCTTATTTCCTGGATTGCAACGAGGAAATAAGTTATTTAGGGAGGTATATTAAAGCGAGTTTATACTAACGGCATAGCAACTGAATGGCAACCTGTGGAAGCTGGAGTCATCCAAGGCAGTGCACTCTGACCCGTTCTTTTTATACTCTTCATACTCGATATAAATGATATATTTAAATACAATACTGAACTTTACAAATTTGCTGATGACATTCTTGCATACATTGTTGGAGACCTAGCCTACTCAACCCTGCCACAGGAAATATGCGACAAAATAAATAGCTTGTGCATTAAAAACCAAATGTTATTAAACACAACAAAATGCAAAACCATGAGCATACCTAGTAACTCAACACATGCCCACCACCAATTGTTTCCATCAACTCTAAACCTCTCGAATATGTAACCTAATATAAATACCTAGGATTAGATTTAAATATTGAAATAAACACCGACCAACACTGGCATCGCATCAAGCCCAAATTCTCCTCAGCTCAGTACCTAATTAGAAGTCTAAAAAAACTAGGCTTTCACAGTGAATTACTAGTAACAATATACCGAAGCATTGGACTTAGCCACTTGATCCATAGTGCACCATTACTGTGTGCAAGCAGTATCAAAATAAAGCACGAAATACAGCAAATACATCTAAAAATACTAAAATCTATAGGCATTAGTCCAGAAATCGACAGAACAAAATATAACATTGAAAACACCCACACATACATTGACAATATATGTATAAAAATCCTAAAACGTATTCTACAAAATCCAAATCATCTGCTAAACATAAAGACAAAAAATAAATCCAATAAGACAAAATATTAATAACAATAAGACAAAATATTAACTTCGGTTTCAAGATAGCTACTTCAAATATGGCTTACAAAAATAGTTTTACCCAAAGAACATTGGGTATAATTTGCTTATAAGAGATGGGAAACATAACTTGTACACTAGTTTATCAAAGCAACTACAAATCTAACAATCAAAATATGTGTGCATATATATGTATGAATGTGTGTATGTATAAATGTAAAAAATTCTGTAATTTCTAAATTTTTAGACCATTGAATTTAAATAAAAGATATATAAAGTAAAAAAAAAAAATTATATAGTTAAACTAATTTAAAAAGATTTGTTTAAAACCTGATTTAAAAAAAAAGGTATTTAAGTATGTTTAAGTATATAAGATATATATATATATATATATATATATATATATATATATATATATATATATATATATATATATATTTAACTGCAATACTGAACTTTACAAATTTGTTGATGACACCCTTGCATACATTGTTGGAGACCTAGCCCACTCAATCCTACCACAGGATATATGCGACAAAGTTAATAGCTGGTGCATTAAAAACCATATATATATATATATATATATATATATATATATATATATATATATATATATATATATATATATATATATATATATATATATACACACACAGTATACACACTTACTATAGCGTATTTTTATAAGAATTTGCTCACTTTTTTTGCTTATCTTAATCCTTACGGCTTTTTTAGAAAAAGAAGAAAACAAAGAATAATGAATGAAAAGGTTGCCGCCCCATCCCAAAACCCTTAGGCTATATAGCAGCACTATATGCAAGTCAGGCTAGTTGTCAGTCGATGTATGTACTTATGCCCCTACTTATTCAGTATGACGTCAGATTGCTTACCTTTGTACGCAATACTATTTGTGTATATATATATATATATATATGTATATATATATATATATATATATATATATATATATATATATATATATATATATATATATATATATATATATATATATATATATATATATATATATATATATATATATATATATATATATATATATATATATATATATATATATATATATATATATATATATATATATATATATATATATATATATATATATATATATATAGACTTTGTAAATTACCAATAACTTGAACCTTGAAAGGACCAAAGTTAATTATTGTCAAGTCAAACTTATCTTAAATAAGACATTAGTTCAAGTTAAGGTGATTTTTTTTAATTAATGCTAAAGTATAAACAGTAAATATGCACAATTATATTAATAAAAGTATAAAAAATATACAAATGAAAAAATATATATTTATATACATTTTATACAAAAAATATAAACTAGAAAAGACACTATAAAAGTAAAATATTTAAAAATATAGCTTACTTTGTTCAAGACACATAGCAAAGACTCAACCACATCAAGAAACATCTCTAAAATAACAACTATTATCTCCACAAAGTTATTGTAAAGCTGAAACAGTTTTACAGCATCTTGCAATATTGGGAGTATCTCTTCAAACAACAAGTTCCCAAATTCTGTTGTGCTAGCAATTGTCAAACCACGAATACATTCAAATGTTTGTACAATTGTTTCTCGTACAGCTGGTTGTTGTGATATTTGCATGAACTGTGGGTTGGAACGCAACTCTTTATAACGATTAACAATAGAGAGAAGAATCTTAATAATAAAAGTTAAATTTAAAAAATTGTATTAGAGTAACAAAAAATAATTTGTTACTATATTTACAAAACCTTAATGAATATATATATATATATACATATATATATATATATATATATATATACATATATATATATATATATATATATATATATATATATATATATATATATATATATATATATATATATATATATATATATATATATATATATATATATATATATATATATATATATATATATATTAAAAGGTTTCTAGGTAAAAACAGAGAATAACCAAAAAACATTTGCTGCCCTAGCCCTAACCCTCAATCAATATAGTGGCACTTTGTACATTTTACTGTATGTACTGCAGCTCTTGGCAGCAGGCTATTTTAGTATGACGTCAGACCGCTAACCTAAACACGCAATAAATACGTATTATAGTTATATGCATATATAATAATTAAAATGAAGAAAAACTATAATTTATAGGACTTGAAGGAGCAAGGTTGCCATAGAAGTAATATTATGGCTAGAAAACATGATATTAGTTGTTTTGATAGTAATATATCAAAGTAATTTAAAATATCGAGATGTGCTGTGTAAGATACTTTGTGTGTGTAAGATTTAACAAATCACAAAAATCGTGGTAGAAAATGTGTGAATACATCACAAGACGACAGATGTTTTAAAGAATATTTTTAATAGTAAGCCCCACACAACATCTACAAGATTATCACAACACACAACATCTACAAGATTATCACAACACACAACATCTATAAGATTATCACAACACACAACATCTACAAGATTATCACAACACACAACATCTACAAGATTATCACAACTTGCTATGAAAAGGGGTATTATTATTAGTTTGAGAAAAATAAAAAGGTTGTGAGAATGCTGCGTTATGACTTTGGTTTAGTTACAAAAAGCTAAACAACCTTTGTTAATTCCAGACCTGTGGGAGAGTGACTGAATCCAAAGTACACCATAAAAACAATCAAACATCCTCCTTCAGTTATGGTATGGGGAGCAATCACAACACACGGTCAATGTGGGTTGCACATCTTTAAAAAAATGAAAAAAAAAATCAATGCACAAAAGTATCTATATGTGTTGAAAGATCGAAACTTCACTTCCAACAAGGCTGCAAGCAACCACTATTATAGTTGGAAGTTACTGGAACTGCATATGGAAATTATTAAAACCAACATACTCCAGCAAGATTCAGCACCATACCACACAGCTAAAATAGTTAAGAAGTTGTTTACTAATAATAATATTGAATTATTATCCAATTAGCCTTAAAGTTCACCTGATCTTAATGTTATCGATGACTACTGGAATATGAAGCAGAAAATTGCAGCACATCAGCTAAATGTTCTGAAGAACACCTTAATGAAATTATACTAGAATTTTATAAAACATTAGCGCATAGTATTCCAAAAAGAATACAAGGAGAGCTTGTTAATAAGGGACATCCAACCAAGTATTGTAATATAAAATTCCAGTCAATGTATTTTTGCTATAATTTTGCTAAACTTACATAATAAAATATATAATAACAAATAATGATATTTTAAACTACTTTTTCACATTATTTTAATTATTTTACACTTTATATTGCATTTATTCATTTATTATTTTAAATTTTGAACAAAGGAATCAGTGGAAAACTACACTAATCACAAGCAGATTCGATCATTTAATAAGTTTTTAATAAAATAATAATAAACATTCTAATAAGTTTTTGATATTTTTGATTTTCATAGTTTTTCTGAACAAAATATTGTTATAGATACTAAGTTGTTGATATCTCACTCAAAAAAGCCATTGCTTTTTAATAATGACCAAGTGTGAATTAAAAAACTAATGACCAAGTGTGAATTAAAAAACTAATGACCAAGTGTGAATTAAAAAACTAATGGGGTTATTTAATGTTTCAATAGGAGCTTTTAACAGCACAAAAATTTAGGAACTTGTTAAAATCTTTGTTTTATTTTAAATCAATTTTACACTAAAAAAATTTCGGAATTTTTTGTGACAATAGTTTAACAATATTTAAAAATTCTAAAACATATTTAATTATAAAATCAAACATTATAATCATATTTTTTATTTTATAATTATTGTCTTTATATTATATATTTAAAATAACAAATATTTTTTCATGTTATAAGTTTTTTTAATTCATCAAGGTTATGAAAATCTTTTCCAAGGTACATAATCTTCAACCACTTGATACTTAAATTATGAATCCATTTATAAATGCCTTTAAAAAAATCAATGTCATCATGAAATTCAAGATTTTTCAAAAAGATTAATCTGTGGAAGAAAGTTTTTTTAAAAATCTTTATTTGTTATTAACTTGAGATGTATATCATAATTTAAAATTGGAATTTAAATGGAAAGAATAAAAAAACATAGTCAAAATTTTTAAAAGATTTTTGAATTGAATTCAGTGTAATTTGAAAGTTGTTTTTATTAATTCATATTAATTTATTTTATTAATAATTTATATTTTTATCATACCTTTATATTAAATTTATATCTCAATAAATACATTTTCCAACCTTACTGCAAATCTAAGAGTTAACTAAACTATATTTATGCTAATTAAAACCACCCACCTAGTATTCAAACCATCCACCCAGTATTCAAACCAACCATTTAATATTTAAACCACACTACCAGTATTCAAACCACCCACCCAGTATTCTAAAATAATAACCACGTTATATTGAATTAAACTTGTCCACAAAGTCATTTATCAAAGTTTTTTTTGATTGAAAATATAATAAATATGTGGAATGACATTATAATCACATCTTCTATCATTCTAATTTAGGATTTTCTTTTTGTCAAATATCAAAAACTGTGAATGCATCACCACTTGGCTAAAGATTTTAGCATAGAAAAAAGTTTCTTAACCTTTATAAACAAACACAACTATTCCTATTAATTGTAAGTTTCGCAAATTTTTTAACATAAAAAAAATACTAAAAAACATATGTAATCTTACAATCTTCATATTCTAAATGAGAACAACACAACCACACATACACACACACACACAAAATGTAGACTTTATAAAACAAGTTTTGTTAATTATGTGCTTAACAAAAAAAATGTTTTGTGTCAAGCAAACGGTCACACTAAAGTTGATAAATCCTACATTGTTAAAAGTGAAACACCTTTTAAAATTAGATATGCAAATCATATTTTTAATTTAAAGATTTACAAATAAAAAAAATGTATAAGCATATAATGCCTGTCAACCTGGTTATATAAAAGTTTAATAATGTCAGTTTTTTATATAAACTAATATAAAAAGAAATGCATATCAGTCATAGAGAAGCCATTTGTTTTTGAGAAACATGTCAAAATTCGTTGTCAAGAAACATTTTTTCAGTGGAGGTTCTTTTAAGATGTTATTAAAAAGAAAGTTCCATTTATTAATAATTCTTATAGAAAAAAAGCAAGAGGAATATTTTTTTAGTTTGAATGTATGACCACAGGTAATAAATTGGTTATCGATTTCAAATAAATTTTTATCATGATTATTATTATTGCACCATTCAAAGATATTAATTAGATCTCCATGAATTAGTCTGTATTATATACTTGTCATATTTAGCGCCAATAGTCTTTGTTCATATGATAGATTTTTTAAGCCTATAATTTGTTTAGAGGCTTAAAAAATCTGACGCTTTTCATTTAACATTTGTCTTTGAGAAGCTGCGGGGTACAGATTTATCCAGAATATTCTAGATGACGACTTAGAGCTGAGAACAGTTTTTTAAATGGGTATAGATTTGGATAAGATGAAAATAATCTTCTTATCAGACCTAATAGTATTGTTGCTATGTTGACTTGAATAGTTATGTGTTTTAAAAATAATAAACTTGAGTATATGAGAACACATAAATCTCGTTCACAAATTGTGGGCTTAATACTGACTAGGGTGGGCTTAATACTGATATTGTGGTCTCAAATTAGATTAGCCTGAAGTACGAATGGTAAATGCCTAATAGTAACAAAAATACCTTACTTTTTTTTCTTTCACAGATGAGTTCTTCAGGTTCCTCTTTGGATTCAAAACTAACATTTTTACCCAAAACAGACTTAAAAAGTCATCTATTGTGAAAACATGCGTGTGCAAGTTAAATATGTCTAAAATGCTAAAATATTTGCTCATCCGCATTTTTATTTATCTATTATTGACATTAATTTTTAAACAGATGACTATTTATTTAAATATCAATATCAGAAAGAGATGATTAAAACTCGTAAGGAATCATTTTGCAAAGTGTTTGGCATAGCCAAGGAATTCAATAAAAATGTTCTTCCTACACAAGCAGATATAATGAAGCATCATCTATCTTGCAGACTGGTATTAAATGAAAATGCTAATGGAAATGATCCTTCTGTGTATGATATTTTGAATATTTTACTGTGATATTTAAAAAGTACATGACAAAAAGCATCTATTTCAATAATTTCCAATCAATGATTTTTAAGCTTGATAGCAAACATAAACAAAGAGTAAAAGTCTTTTAAAAAAAATTGTCATAAGTTACAAGACAAGGCATCAATGTTTAGAAAAATGTGTGAAATAACTCTGTTTGATATATGTACCTGCAAATGTAAAAACTTAATTGACTGTCATTGTAAAGCTAAAGTTCCTATTAGCAAAAGATATTTTCTTGTCGATCAAGGAACAGTATGGAAAATGATAATTGGTAATGTTGATAAAAAAGTTACCCAACTTCTTCATAAAAATATGAAAAGGAAAGCAACATTTTTTTAATGCAGACAATATAGCGGGAAAAAGTAAAAAAATATTTCAATCTACATGTAAAATAGAAATTGAAGAATAAACATCTTTTGTAAACTCAGATAATATATTTAAAGAATTGTTTAGAATTAAAACTTTTGATCCCAACACAAAATCAGAATCTTACTATACTTTTCCTTCTGGAAAAAGATTGAAATATATATAGT